GAAGATAAATATCACAGATCACGTTACAAGCGACAATAGTTCAAACAGTTTTAAACAAATAAGAAAGAAACTGGAGAATGTGTTATTATGGATTATTGATGCATTCTGATGGCACCACTGCAGACAATCCATTGTTCTGATGAAGAAACAAACTCAGCTAAGTACATTCCTAGTAGGACACCTCTGTGCTGTGCACATTGTTTCTTGTACACAATATTTTACGTCTACATTCAAAAATAAATTTTTCAGTGTTTCTCCCTGTAACACATCCAGACATAATTCTCGTGTTAATCTTTAAACATATAAGTAGACTATTATTCTTGTGTTCTTGTAAACCAAAACATTGTCTGCAGTTAAAATTATGCGTAATATATTATTGTATCTGACTGCCCCCTACTGGCCAATGTGATTTAAAACATGCATGTGTCTATGGATATATCAATCAGAATGACACAATCACCTACAATGATTAATGTGTTACCTTGAAATATGTGACTGTCATCTCCTTTCCCTGTGTTCAGTGGGGGTTGGGGATTAGAGGCAAAGTCACAGGAGAAGCATTAAGGAAAAAGGCTTATAGAGCAGGTGGTGCTCTCAGTCAGGGGTTTGTATAGCAGTATCCCAAATGGCAGCAAACTAAGGTGACCACTGTGCATCTCATTGACTGACTATGAAAGGTTATTTTTATCCACTATCAAGAGAAGGGATTTATATGGTGGTCCTTCTTTACCTATCTTTCATTTTTTTCTCAAATGACAAAACGAACAAGTCTGGGAACGACTAATTTGTCAGAAATTAAAAGACAGACAGTAGCTCTGAATGCAAAGCAGCTATTGCACAGAGACATTTAATTTATTCCTCCCCAGTCGTTCAATCCCATTCAGCTCTGGGATGCTCTTGTTAAAGTGTGTGAAGTCCTTGCGAGTCGTCTCTTTGTCAAAGTGTTCCCTTCTTCTTCTCAGTGTGTTGTGGACTGTTGGTGAGATGTCTTCCCCAAAGCTATAATGCAAAAAAACATCAGAAATGTTAAATCTATCTATCTATCTATCTATCTATCTATCTATCTATCTATCTATCTATCTATCTATCTATCTATCTATCTATCTATCTATCTGTCTGTCTGTCTGTCTGTCTGTCTGTCTGTCTGTCTGTCTGTCTGTCTGTCTGTCTGTCTGTGTTTTTTAATTTCTTACGGTTTTGGGAACAAAGCTGATGTCAGACTTGTTCGTGCCAGTTCTAATGGTGAACTTTGGGTTCTTAACTATGATATTGTCTCTCAGGTCTTTTTTCACAGCTGCTGAAACTGATCGTGTTGGTGACCGAATACCCATCTACAGAAAACAGAATTAAAAATCATTAAAAATCCCAACTCTAGCTATAGAAAGAAAGGAATTTTTCCCATTCACCTTTTCTTGTGCCGAAGAGGGTGTTTTTAATGTTGGTTCTGGTTTCCTTTCTTTGTCCTTTCTGTTGAATTTGGCCATGAGCAAGCCAATGATTCGCCATAATTTATAGCGATATCCAAGCAATTTTGCTCTGTGAACAAACGTATTTCATTTTTTTTATGGGAAAAATTATACAAGTAGATGTAGACATACACTACTGTTTCAAATACTTCAAATAAAAGCTATTCCTGAATCCTGAAAAAATTTATCGTAGTTTCCACAAAATTATTAAGCAGCACAATTGTTTTCAACAACAATAATAATAAATGTTTCTTGAGCAGCAAATCAGCATATTA